CTCCTCACCCACAGCCGGGACCCCTGCCAGGGGCGCAGAGCCTTGCCCTCCGCCTGAAGCCCTGCCGTCGTCAGTGGCGTCTCAGGACGGGCAGTGGACTCCGCAGGACAGCCGGCCTCTTTTGGGGGACAGTGCCCCCACCCGGACCTCCTCACGGCTCCGAATGGCTTTGCCTCAGTAGCCTTCCCACCCACGCAGCTGCCACCCCTTCGTCCTCCCTAGACCCGGCCCCTGACCTAAACGACAGTACTTCAGCCCCTGTCTCTCGCCCAGCCTTCCAGCCCCTCCTGGTCCTTGTCCAGCCCAGACCTCCCACGTGACCACCTGGCCAGCAGCATCGTCTCAAGCTGGGTTCCCTAGAAGCAGAGCCAGGGGACTTGGAGGGAAGTGGGAGAGAGAGGAGAAGCGGGGGATGGGGCTGGCCTGGAGGCTACCGTTAGCCTGCTCCCACGGGAGTCCCGCAGGCAGCCTGGGGCTCCGGGGTCCGCCAGCCGGGGCTGCTGGCCTCTCCCAGGTCTGGGCATGATCGCCCGGGCAAGGCAGCTTCCACTGGCTGAGCCCTTAGTAGCCACGCTCCGCAGTTGGGGGCGGGGCCGGGGTCTCTACAGGGGACCAGGCAGTCAGCATGTGTCTGCTATGATGGGTGATCTCAGTTTCCTCGCTCAGCCTCCAACCCAACTAAATCCTGTTCCGGAAAGATGCTACCGACCATCTTCTTTGTTCCTATTCCGGAGCCCGCCAGCCGGGGCACCCACTGATCCTTCACCTGTCCTCTGCTCAGCACCCCCTCTTCATGTTCATGTTGCTGCTTCCAAACTCATGACAACACTCACATGCTCTCCTACATTATTTACTTGTTATTTTTTTAAAAATATATTTTTATTGATTTCAGAGAGAAAGGGAGGAGAGAAAGATAGAAACATCAATGATGAGAGAGAGTCATCTATCCTTTGCCTCCTGCACCCCCCCGCACCCCCCCCCACACACACACATACTGGGGATTGAGTCCAAAACCTGGGCATGTGCCCTGACTGAAAATCGACCCCTGACCTCCTGGTTCATAGGTCGATGCTCAACCACTGAGCCACATCTGCTGGGCTGTCTTTTTGTTTTGTGGGTAGTTTCTTTTTTTTATTTTATTTTATTTTTTTAATACATTTTTATTGATTTCAGAGAGGAAGAGAGAGAGAAACATCAATGATGAAAGAATCACCAACAGGCTGCCTCCTGCATGCCCCCCACTTTTTTATTTTATTTTATTTTTTAATACATTTTTATTGATTTCAGAGAGGAAGAGAGAGAGAAACATCAATGATGAAAGAATCACCAACAGGCTGCCTCCTGCATGCCCCCCACCGGGGATCAAGCCCGAAACCCTCGGGCATGTGCCCTTGACTGGAATCGAATCCAGGACCCTTTGGTCCACAGGCCGATACGCTACCCACTGAGCAAACCAGCTAGGGCAGTTTCTTTTTTAAAAAAAATATGTTTTTTATTTATTTTAGAGAGAGGAAGGGAGAAGAAGAAGAGAGAGAAATATTGATGAGAGAGAAATCTTGATCGGCTGCCTCCTGCACCCCCACTAATGGAGATTGAGCCACAATCCAGGCGTGTGCCCTGACCGGGAATCAAACCAGCGACCTCTTGGTGCATGGGATGAGGCTCAACTAACTGAGCCACACTGGCCGGGCTTGGGGGTATTTTCTTACATAACACAAAAGATGTAGAAGCTATAAAAAATATGTATATTTGCAACATCCTATACAATTCTGTATAATAAAAGCCTACTATACTAAGGGTCCAGTCGGCCATTCAACCAATCAAAGGGTAATATGCTAATGATATGCTAAAGCTATTCAACTGCTCACTATGATGTGCACTAACCACGAGGGGGCAGACACTCTGACCCATAAGTTAGCTTGCTGCTGGGGTCCAGCTGATCGGGACTGAGCGAGATGGGCCAGACATGCCCTGGAGCCTTCCCATGGTCCTTCCCACGGCTGGCCAACCTCCCGCATCCCTCCCCATCCCGATAGTGCACCAGTGGGGTCCCTCAGCCTGTCCTGTGCCCTCTTACAATCCAGGCTGAGGGACCCCCCTCGCCAGTGCACGGATTTGATGTACTGGGTCTTTAGTAAAAGAATAATATGCTAAGTATCCGACCGATTGCTTGACCATTCAGTCAATTGTTAGACCAGTCACTATAACGCGCACTGACCACCAGGTGGCAGACGCTCTGACTGGTAGGTTAGCTTGCTGCTGGGGTCAGGCTGATGAGGACTGGGTGAGAGGACCGGATATGCCCTGGAGCCCTCCCGTGGTCCCTCCCAGGCTGGCTGGCCCCCATTGCCCCGATCGGGACTCGGCAAGATGGCCCCGATTGGCCCCCATTACAGGCCAGGCTGAGGGACCCCACTGCACGAATCCATGCGCCAGGCCTCTGGTATAGAAAATAAAAAACATTAGAAGGGTTAAAGATACCATAAATAAACACGTGATTAGAAAAATATGAGCAACACAGAAGATAAAGATTAACACATACACACTGCTTGTATAAATTGACAAGAAAAAGACAACCCCAAAATATGCAAAGGCTATGAGTAGGCACTTACATCAGAACCACTTTAACCATTCAAAAATGCGTTCAAAATCACTAGCAGTCAGAGAAATGGTTAAACAAAAATTTTTTAAAGTAACAAGTATTTAAAAAGTAACATATCACATTATGCCCATAAATTTGCAAACATTAAAAAGAAGGCTGCAGTGATGGCAGGGTGCTGATAACTGTTGAAGCTGACTTGTGAGTATTTGGGGGCTCATCATACTATTTTTTTTTTTAAGAAGAAATATTTTTTATTTTAAAAAAAATATATTTTATTGATTTTTTACAGAGAGGAAGGGAGAGGGATGGAGAGTTAGAAACATCGATCAGCTGCCTCCTGCACACCCCCCACTGGGGATGTGCCCACAACCAAGGTACATGCCCTTGACCGGAATTTAACCTGGGACCCTTGAGTCTGCAGGCTGATGCTCTATCCAGGAGCCAAACCGGTTAGGGCTCATCATACTATTTTATCTGCTTACAAATGCGTGGGAATGTCCACAATAAACAGGAAAAGACCCTCAAGCACACTGAAGAAGGCCACGCCCACTGCCGCCAGGGCTTGGTGAGGAGCACACTGTCATGTGGGGCTGGCGGAAATGTAAATTTTCACAGGCTTTTTAGAATGCAATCTGGAAACAATTGTTTAAAATAAAAAATGCAAGACCCATTTGACCTGGAAAACTCACTTTCAGGGACCTCTCCCATAAAACATATTTTTACATAAAAATATATCTTAAAATATATGATATATTTTTTTAAATGCTTATAATGGCCCTAGCTGGTTTGGCTCAGTGGATAGAGCATTGGCCTGCTGACTGAAGGGTCCCAGGTTCGATTCTGGTCAAGGGCACATGCCCAGGTTTCGGGCTCGAACCCCAGTGTGTGGGGGTGTGCAGGATGATTCTCTCTCATCATTGATGTTTCTGTCTCTCTCTCCCTCTCCCTTCCTCTCTAAAATCAATAAAAAAATATTTTTAAAAAAATGCTTATAATGGTAACAGTAAAAGGGTGCTTATGGCAGCATTGTCCTTAGAAACAGAGCAAGCACCCCCCCACTGAGAAACTGCTGACTCATTACAGAGCTCTGCCCTTGAGGCAGCCACTATAAACAGTGGTCTATTCATTAGCTTGGAAGATGCTTCCAGGACTTATAACTGAGTAAGAATTGAAAGATACAGACATTATAGGAATCTACTATTTTGGACAATGAAGTTACTTTATTCCAAAGGAAAAGGGCCTGAACTTGTCACCATGAAGATTCAAAGTAGTGCCTGTCGGAAATCTCCTGCTTCAATTATGTACGGGCGACCGTTATGATAGGAACCATTTCTGTAAAGACATGTAGATGCAGATCATTATATATGGATAAAAACACAGAATCAATATGTCGATTTGTTAGCAAAGGTTTTGTGGTGGACTGGAGGGGATATGGTATACTAATGAAGGAGTAAAACCAACAAAAAAAAAACCACACAAAAAAACACAGAAACACACATCATGGCTCTATCCCATTTATGGAAAAGGCGCTGTGTGCACGTGCGGTGAGCATCCTTAGCCAAGTGCAGTAGCTTGGAATGCCATGCACAGCAACTGCAACCCCGTGTCCCACACCCCGCGGGCCTGCGCATTCAGCCCGCCAGAAAGCCTTCCCAGTTTCATCCTCTGAGTATCAAACAGCGCTGCTGAAAAAATGTAAGGCCCTCTCCTTGCGGCACATACATTACCTTCCTTGATGCGCTGACTTGCTACCGTTCTGCAGATGACCAAAGTAAGTTTCATAGAGGCTAATTCACCCAAGTTAACAGAGTTTACAAGTTTTTACAAATAAAGTCAGTGAAGTGGCAGAGATTCAAACCTACTCTGCTTGGCCCCCGAGTCTGTGATCTTAACCTCCGTTCCTGCCGCGATGTGCTGGTCCATGGCGCACGTCGTCCAGGGAGGGGAGCCGCTGCGACCGTGAGGACAGGACCTGGGCAGAAGCGGTCCGCACCGCAAGGAGACAGCCAGCTCCCCGCACAGCAGGCCACAGTCTGAGGCCAAAGCCCCAGCTGGGGTCCTCTGCCAAACTGGGTCCCTGCTCCTCCCGCTCCTCCCACGCTGGGCGCCAGTAACCCACAGGCTCGGTGGGAGGAGGTGGGGGGAGTGTCCCGTGGGTCTGCCTCCAGTGGTAACACCTGGGAGGCAGGCTGAGGGTGCCCGTGGGTGCCCCACAGAGCAGGCACACTCAGCCACGGCTTTGAATCAGGGATTGGTTATCACGGAGGCGCCGGGAAGGAGGGCTGGTGGCCGGAGGCACCAGGAGGTTCGCGTCTCTCTTGATCTGGTGCTGGCTGCATGGCACGCTTTGCCCATATTTCATTGGTGCGCTGGGGTCGCTTCGCCAGCGCCCATCGTTACATTTTCCGGAATTTTGTGAGCTGTCAGTTCATTACGGCCACCATTAAAAATTAAATTACATAAATTTACAATTAACTGTGTTACATTTAAAATAAAACAATAAATACTCCTGATTATTTTTCTGTTCTCTCTGCCCTTGAGGTTTGTACATCTGGGTATCTGTACATGGAATACTATAGAGGGGTGCTACTGTGCACCACGCCCCAATCCCATGCTCAGTGACAGCACATTAGCCGCTGACGGCAGCCATGGTGGGAATATTTATTTACACCACGGAAATCAGCAGACACTGTAGGTCGGGGCTGCAGTTATTATTTTGTTGATTGCCTAGATTTAAAGCGAAGAAGAAAATATTAATAATGCAGATTAAACTTAAAAGTGTGTTGTATATGTGAATGGCAGAACAAACCAAGGAAACAGTCTTCCAGTATTCAAAACCTCTTATCTGATTCAGCCCAGAAGTTGCTGGCATCACTGCAGAATGAGTGAAGTTCTGAAACGCGGTTTTGCGTTCCTCTTCCTTGTTGTTAATGTAAACAAAAATACCAACCACCGAGCATCTCAGATCTGCGTTTAGAGAGCAGGTTGTTAAAAATGTACCCACACGTGCAGCCCATGTGGCTCAATGGTTGAGCATTGACCTACGAACCAGGGGGTCACGGCTTGGTTCCCAGTCAGGGCACATTCCTGGGTTGTGGGCTCAATCCCCGGTGGGGGGCATGAAGGAGGCAGCCAACCAATGATTCTCTCTCATCATTGATGTTTCTGTCTCTCCCTCTCCCTTCCTCTCTGAAATGAATACAAAAATATTTTTTAAAAAATATACCCACACACCACTGGGTATACTTCAATAAAAAGTTAAAAACAAATAGAGAAGCAGGCCCATGGACATATGGTCAAAGTAGGATGGGTTCCTACACAACAGTTTTGTTTAATTTTTTAAAATATATTTTTGTTGTTGATAGTATTACAGGCATCTCCCATTGCCCTCCTCCCCACTCCCAGCCCTTACACCACCCCCCCAGGTAGTTTTGTTTAATTTTTTAAAAATATATTTTATTGATTTTTTTACAGAGAGGAAGGGAGAGGGATACAGAGTTAGAAACACCGATGAGAGAGAAACATCGATTCAGCTGCCTCTTGCACGCCCCCTACTGGGGATGTGCCCGCAACCCAGGTACATGCTCTTGACGGGAATCGAACCTGGGACCCTTCAGTCCGCAGACCGACTCTCTATCCGCTGAGCCAAACCGGTTAGGGCTTGTTTACTTTTTGTAATAAAATATATTGTAATAGAAACCTCATCCCCCAAACACAATCCTTGTGGCGTCAGCTTCAGGCTTACTGAGCAACTATGCTGTCGCGTAGTATCTATTTGTGTAGCAGGCAGTTTTCCAGCTGCAGTGAGTGTGTGTATGTGTATGTGTGTGTATATGTGTGCGTGTGTGGGGGTGTGTATTTGTGTGTATATCTATAAGGTTCGTGTGTATTGTGTATATGTTATGTATGCATGGTTATGTGTGTGCATAAATGTATATGTGTGGGCATATGTGTGAGTGTGTATGTGTATGCATGGTTATATATGTGTGTATGCATGTGTGTGTTTTATGTAGAATAATTTGGTTCTAGCTGATCTTTGATAAAAAAATCTTTGCCTCTGAATTCATCTTTCCTCATTAAAATCCTAAGCATGTCTAGGAGGTCAAGGGGTGGCCACAAAACCTGCTGACAGCAGGGGGCAGTAGAGTGCAGCAATTAAGCGTGTGGGCCTTGCCACTAGCTGGCTTTGCCACAGGCTTCAACCAGGTAGTTCCATGCATTTGTGATTACACACCTCTTTCAATGAGAAAGTTGCATTGATAACTTATATACATAATTTATGTCCTAATATTATAGATGTACATATTTAAAATATAACAAAATTGAAATAAAAAATAGAGGAATAGAGAAAAATGGTGAAATTAAAAACTATTGAGGTGTAATTGACAAAATGCACATATTAAAAGTGCACAATTTGGCCCTAACCGGTTTGGCTCACTGGATAGAGCGTCGGCCTGCGGACTAAAGGGTCCCGGGTTCAATTCCGGTCAAGGGCATGTACCTTGGTTGCCGGCACATCCCCAGTAGCGGGTGTGCAGGAGGCAGCTGATCGATGTTTCACTCTCATTGATGTTTCTAATTCTCTATCCCTCTCCCTTCCTCTCTGTAAAAAATCAATAAAAATATATTTTTTAAAAAGTGCACAATTTGATGCTTTAAAAAATATATACATTTTTATTTATTTTAGAGAGGAAGGGAATAGGAGAGAGAGATAGAAACATCAATGATGAGAAAGAATCATTGATCGGCTGCCTCCTGCACGCCCCACACTGGGAATCCAGCCCACAACCCAGGCATGTGCCCTTGACCGGGAATCAAACCAAGATCTTCTGGTTCATAGGTTGACACGCAACCACTGAGCCACACTGGCCGGGCACAACTTAATGTTTTGATATATGTATACACCCATGAGACCACCACACAACCAAGATTGTGAACATAACCATCATGCCCAAAAGTTTCCCAGTGTGCCTTTGTAATTTCTCCTTCCCACCATCCCTGCTCCTCTGTCCGCCAGCAGCCATGGAGCGGCTTTCTGTCACTACGGATTGGTTTATATTTTGTGGAGTTTTATATAAATGGCATCATACAGTTTACACTCTTTTTTGAGGGGGTCTGGCTTTCACTCAGCATCATTGTTTTGAGTTTCGAGATAATTATGGGTTAGAGCATTGCAGATGGAACATAGTCATGCACTGCATAATGATGTGTTGGTCAGTGATGATCATTTCTGATGGTGGTCTCATAAGATTATAATGGGGCTGAAAATTTTCTATTGCCTGGTGTCATCGTAGCTGCCCTAGGGCCGACGCATTACTGTTTGGGCGGGTCTCAGTGTACTGGTAGGAATGCCCTTGGGTGGGAATGCCTGTTTCCCACAACATCTTCCCTTTCCAAACCAACTGTTGCAACTGGATTGACCCTTGTGCTTCTTATCACAATTGCAAAATGCCCTTCAGCAATAACCCTTAGGAAACTCCAGCAGAAAGATTTTATTGCTTACAGGCCCTGGAGCATACATGTTCCCATGAGGTCCCAGGTAGAGAGAGCATGCTCAGGCCTGGGGTTCTGTTTTTATTGGGGTCGAGGGTGGAAGCCTAGGGTTTCACTGGCTCACTCTTTACTGGTGCATGTGAGACATAAGAGAGCATTTAAAGCAGGCAAGAGAAAAAACAAGTAGTACGGCTGGTCAGTTATCAAAATCAACCAAGATGTAAAACTAAGGAGCTTCAGTGTGTGGAGGCGGCCTGGCTTCTTGTCTGGTCCTGTGGCAGCCACTGTGTTTATCTGAGACAGCCTTCAACTATCTGAAAGTCCCCTCCAGTGCGATTGCCCATCCCAGGTCATGCCCTCCCTCCCACCTTCCAGGTAACCTCTTTGACCAGTTTCTTAGGTATCTTCCAGATGTTCTAATGCACACACACACCCACACACACACACACACACACACTCTAGAGGCCTGGTGCATGAATTCGTGTATGGGGGGGGTCCCTCAGGGTGGCCTGTGGGGATCAGGCTCCAGCTCACACCCCCAGCCTCGCAGCCCCGCAGCCCCACCTTGGCCTGGTGCTGCCTGCTCACCTGCTCCACCATCCCGCCATGGTCCCGCTCTCACTGGGGCCCATCATGGCCGGCAGCGCCTCCACTGCTGCCGCTGCCAGCACTATGTCGCTGATGCTGGTCATGTTCTGTGCCGCCCCCTGGTGGTCAGTGCACATCTAGCAAGCGGTTGAATGACCGCCCAAGGGGACAATGTGCATTTATTATATAGGATGATTTCCCCAACCTTTTACAGAAAAGATAGCATACTTATTCACACTGTTCTGCAATTTACTCTTTTCATTTAAATCATCTTGGAGATCTCTCTATCAGTTTGTAGGAAGTGTTCTTTTCTTTTTTTTATAGCTTCTTTTTAGTTATCTAGTCATCAGATCTACCTTCTTATGCCTAGAAATTGCAAGGTCAGCCAGGTCATTCCTGCTGTCATGCTCTCCAGAACTGTCCTACTTCATGCCCTTTCCCAAAACCGATTCTCTATCCTTCTCCCCCCCTTCCCTCTAAACTAGTTTGGCTTTAGTTCTGAGATTCCTTCCCCAGGTGGGAGAAATTGCCCCAAGGGTCTATCAAAATGATGGCTTGGTACCGTTGGGTTAAAGCCAGGTGTTTCCATGGCCATCCACTAGTGTCTGAGGCACTCAAGATGACAAGTCCACTGGGTTCCGTTTAAGCCAGTCTTCATGCAAATTCTCGTTTCCTTGGGGAACTCGAAAGAGAGAGTATATTGGTCTTACTGAGCACAGATCTATAGAGAACAGAATCATAATCTAGAGCAGATTTGCAAACAATGGCCTGTGGGCCAGACCAACCCCCTGCCTGTTTTTATCTGGCCCACAAGCTACGAATAGTGTTTACATTTTTTATTT